AAGGAGCTTTCTTTGGCTCCAACTTGCCACCACTGGAGAGGTTGACCTCGAGGGGGAGTCCCAAGCATCTCCCTGAATAAGGCTCTCTGATGTCTCCCTTGTCCAGGCTTCTGTCACCCATGGAGTCATCCACAGGGTTCTCAGTCACTGGCAGAGCCCCTGCTGGGCCACTCCCGGCCACTACCTCTACACCAACTGCAGCTGATTGGCCTCTGCAGCTGCTGTGATGCTTCTGCATCCACTTTGGAGGTGCTGGTGCCACCTCTCCTGCTGGCACAGAAGCCACCAGTGCTGATGCTACCATCACATAAGTGTCACCAACACTGCCAGCGCCAGGCTCACCATTGCCACCATGTCACTGGAGCCACCAACTCAACACTGCAAGGGCCAGCATCGTGGTGGGGAGGAGTGAAGCCTTTGTGTGTTGTTTGCTCAAGCTCCACTCAGTTTGTAGGCAGATGGGAGACAAACTGGGTGTCAAGACATTATGAAGCACCCGAACGGCCTCTCTTCTCCAAAGAAAGCTTCATTCTGGACTATCTGGAGATTTCCAAGGAAGAGAGGACTTAGTTCCTCAGGTAAACAGATTCCTGGAAAGACCTACTCATGTTCCCAAGACGTCTCTAAATTCTCTCCAGCAGACGGTGGAAGCCCAGGTGTGACCTGCTTTCTGCCCCACCTTTCTCCTGCGGTGTAGAGAGATGACCAATTGTGTTCCATTGTTCTGCTACTGGGAAGCTTACAGGCATTTATGGCCCATCTTTTAAAATTCAGCAAGATCTCATGGTATGCATTTGTGATCCAACCTAACCCTTGACTTTGCCCTAGTTTCTTTTCCGTCCTGTTTCACAAATGTATTGTTTTTATTATGTTGTTATACATATGCCAGAAAGTCCCTTTTGAAATAAGACAAGTGTTCATAAAATAAAAGGAAGAGCTGGAATACGAACTTATGGATACATACTTTAAAAAGCTCATTTCCAAATGTGGTGAGTTTCATTAGCGTTTTTTCTCTGCAGACTTCAAACACGCTTAGCAGAAGATCTTCACCAAATGACTTGGTAGTTCCAGGTGAAAAACAGAACTCTCTTAGAAAGCTTCACTGCATGTGAATTACAGAATGACTGTTCACCTCCTGGCCTGTGGGAGACAGGCATTAAGGACATGGCTGTGAGGCATGGCTGACCCTGGGCAAAGCTGGCATTCAGGACCCCCAACCATTCCTCCCTCTCCATCTCCTTCAGCCCAGACTCTTTTCTTAAAGGGCACCCAGCTTTCTGCACTGCCCTGGGTGGTCCATAACAGCTGAAGTCACATTAAGGATGAAAGCTGTAACTCCATGCATGCTTCACAGTCAGGGGCCTTGGAAGAACCCCAAAGGCAGGACCACCTATGTAATTTGCTGGGCCCAGCATCAAACAAAAATGCAGGACCCTTCATTCAAGGAATTAAGAATTTCAAGACGGTGAGAGCAGAGGGTGAAACCACACACAAGGCCTTGTGTGACTACACAGGTCACAAGTCTGAGCCAGCCCTGCATGAAGGACACACAAAGGCACACTTTAGAAAATTATTTTTATACACAACCGCGCATTCTAATTTTTATGGAAAACAATAAATAGTTGGAAAAACAACACAGAAAATTTCAATGACATTCCATTCTCACAGAAAAACCAGTTGCCTCAGCTCTGTGACTTGTATTACTCTGGTGCAAAGGTGTGAGAAACAATGTCGTCATTTTTACCATGTTTCCATCCGAGCTGTCACAAGCCATCAGAGTGCTGCATTTTTAAGAGAGAAGTTTGGAAGTGGTGATCAGATTGCATATGCCAGATATGGTTTCGTTCATCCCCACCCAAATCTCACCTTGAATTGTAATAATCCCCACATGTCAAGGGCAGGGCCACATGGAGATGATTCAATCGGGGGGGCAGTGTCCCCCCTACTGTTCTCATGGCAGTAAATAAGTCTCACAAGATCTGATGGTTTTATAAAGGGGAGTTGCCCTGCATGAGCTCTCTTTCCTGCCACCATGTAAAAAGTTTCTTTGCTCTTCATCTTCCACCACGATTGTGAGGCCTCCCCAGCCATGTGGACCTGTGAGTCCATTAAAACTCTTTCCTTTATAAATTACCCAGTCTCTGGTATGTCTTTATTACCAGTGTGAGAACAGACTAATACATACCACAGCAAAGCAAGAAGGGGTAAGATAGCCATGGCATAAGAAGTTCTCAAAGGATGGGTAGGATTTGGCAGGGCCAAGAGGAAGGGTTCTAAGGAAGGGAAGCCAAGGAGCAGAGAGAGGAACAAGCAACAGAACTGGTGAGAGGGGCAAGAAGAGGGTCACCTACCAGGACAGGTGGGGCGGGCTCACTTAGGGCCACTGAGTTACTTAAGAAAAATACATAAGCACCCTTTTAGAGTTCTGGAATCTGATTTTAAAATGGGGATTTTGTGCTCATATAGGGTAAAAGTAATGTGACTCACTCAATGTCAAATGGGCATCAATGGAGATAAATGACAGACACATGAACTTTTTCCCTCTACAAGCAAAATAGCATGAGAATAGAATCCAAAGGATACATATGAGGACTGACTGCTTGAAGTCTCTGAGTGAACCATCATCCAACACTCCAGATCTCATGGCTGCCTCTGAGCTCTAGCAGAGCCTTTTGGGTTTGTGCTAAGGCTGTTCTCAGTGTTGGGTCATCAGTCTTACCCTAAACATCCTGTCTAGCACATTCTGGGAGGGCGCTATGGGCACTGGTGGGCACCCCTGGTAAAGAATGAAATTTGTGTTCACCACCATTAACAAGCTCAGCCTCCAGGGACTGAATGATGAGGAATCACACTTGAACAAAGTAAGACTTGCTATCTTCCTACCTGAGACAGCACAGAAGGAAAAAAAAACTCAAGAATACTATTCTAGCCAGGCATCCTCCTCCTCAAATGAGCTTTCTGACTGAAATGTACTATGACACACCATTGCTCCTGGCAGAACTTCGAGAACTTAAGAGGTTTGTCTTTAGAAATATGTAGGCCAAGATACATGCTGTCATCTATCCTACAAGGAATATAGATTAACAGAGAATTTAAAGTCTGAGAAACCATGTAACACACGTATATTCCTCCAGACTGCAACTGACTCTTTCTCTGCCTGCCTCTCTTGCTGTATTTATATGGGAAATATGTTAATTTATGCAAATATATACACACTATGTTAATTTACATGCATAAATGTGTATATGTGTATGTATATGTTACATATGTATATTAAATATGCATATATGGGCTGGTAGCAGTGGCTCACACCTGTAATCCCACCACTTTGAGAGCAAAGGTGGCTGGATTACTCAAGCTGAGGAGTTTGAGACCTTAGCAACATGGCGAAACCCCATCTCTACAAAAAATACAAAAATTAGCCAGGCGTGGTGATGCATGCCCGTAGTTCCAGCTACTTGGGAGGCTGAGCTGCGAGGATCCCTTGAGCCTAGGGAGGTCAAGGCTGCAATGAGCCATGATCACACCACTATACTCCAGCATGCGGGACAGAGCAAGACCCTGTCTCAAAAAAAATAAATTCATGTACTATATACATAAAAATATATACATACAAGTGCCTATCTAAATATGCATCTATTATATGTATAAGTATATGCATATGTATATAAAGAGCAAGAGGGGCAGGGAGAAGATACGTGTGTGTGCATATATATATATATATATATATATGCATTAATATATACTACAGCACAATTCAATTCCATTTTATTAAACCCAGTCAGCACTTAAGAGTCTCTGCAATGTGTTGGCCCAGGGATAAGCACTAGAACACAAAGTTATGAGTGTCAGCAACCTCGGGGAGCTGTCTAGAGGAGACACACTGAAGACCAAAATGCCCCTCTTATCAGCATGGTGGCTATTTATAATGGGAGGTAGATGGTTTGGTAGTTCTGTATTGACGGTGGCCAATAACATGGGTCAAGTCATGTTGGCTGGGTTCAGGTCCCGGCTCCACAACTTTGAAACTGTATAACATCAAACATGGAACTTGAGCTTAGGGGTCCTTGTTGGTAAAATAAATGCAGTCACATACTGCATGATGACATATAGGTCAATGACAGACCACATATATGACTGTGGTCCCATAAGATTATAATACTGTGTCTTTACTATACCTTTTCTATGTTTAGATATACAAGTACTTGCCACTGTGTTACAACTGCCTACAGCTTCAGCGTAGTAATATGCTGTACAGGTCTGTAGCTTACAAGCAGCAGGCTATCCCGCATATACTAGGTTAGGTGTGTGGTAGGCTAAACCATCTAGGTTTGCGGAAGTAAGTACATTCTATGATGTTCACACAATGATGAAATTGCTTAATGATGCATTTCTCAGAACATATCCCTGTCATTAAGCAATGCATGACTGTATCTACAATAGTGGCCTCTTCATAGGGTAGCAGGGCTTAAATGATATAACAAGTGGAAGCACTTACACTTACGGGAACCAAAAGGCACTCAATGGAAGGCAACCATCATTGTTACCAGTAGTTTTGTTATTGACAAGAACATCAAATTCGACAGCAGGGCCACAGAAGAGAAAAAGTCAATCTAACTTGGGAGGTGTCAGGAGAAGTTTGTGGAGGCGGTGACATGGAGTTGAATCTTTCTTAATAGCATGTGTTTGCCAGGGGAACAAAAGGAAGAAAAGGCATTCATTCCAAATAAGAAAGGTTTATTCAAAGGCCCTGTGGCATGAAACACCCTAGCAGGTCCGGAGAACGGTCAGCAGATCAGCACAACCAGAGTGAGGGTTCAAGGTCAAAGAGATGCCAGAGTCAGATCTGGAAGGGCCACCAACAAGCCCTTAGCAATGGAATAACAAAATCAAATTGGCCTTTTAGAAGGTTTAGGTAATATTCAACAGAACATAATTTCACCTTTCTGGGGCCACCATCGTGACGATCAGCTGTTTTGAATACTACTGGAGTGTGTTAATGCCACAAAACAGAAAACCTGTAATTCACACGTTCTTTCTTCTGTTCACAAGTCTTCAGAAGGTTTTTGTTTTAGTTGTAGTGACTAATTGGCTTATTTTTCCACAGTGCTTTAGTTGCCAAGGAAGGTTTTCTTTACCACTAATCTCCTCCAGAATGATTTTAAAATACTCATCTTCCTAACCACAAGGAAAATCTTAAGTGGTCACTTTTTAGCACTCAAAAGGGCCGCACGACAACTGTTCACCCTCAAAGTGCACAAACAGCAATGGCAGCTTTGCAGATCAGGACTCTGAGTCAGAGGAGGGTATGGGAGGCATAGACAAGGTAAGGGTTAGAACTGGAACGAAAAGAGAAATGAGAGCTCAGAATAAAAGCAGTGTGAGTAAACAACAGTCTACAGGAGCAGCAAGAAAGACTAAGAAAGTCACCAAAGAAGAGTAAAAAGAGCATGTGGTATGGTTGGAAAGGGACAGACAAAACAGAATAGGTCAAAAATGCAAAGGGTCTTCTAAAGGAAGTCAGTGGCAGAAAATTTGGGACAGCCAACTGAACTGTTTTGATCAATATGCTCATTCATCATTCAGGAGGTCAGCCTATTGGTCAATTCTATTAATTCTCTTTTTCAAATATGTCCTGGGCACCTTCCATGCCAGGTGCTGAAGATTCAGAGCTGAATTAGTTTCCAGTCTCTGTCTTCACTCAGTAGCTCACCTGCTATTGGGCTGAAAAAAATAACGTGACGCACAGAACAGCGCACGGTCTCCAACCATCAAGAACTCATGCCAGCAGGGAGAGAATTCACTGCTATGGAGGACCTGATATCTGCCAGGAATTGTCCTAGGCTTGTTTATTTATGCCGTCTTGCTTGATCCAACCTTCCTTTGATAAAATCAACAGGCATCAACAATCTGTTTTTCTGGCCCCGATTTTCACTGTTCCATATTAAAGAGCATGGAGGCAGCGGGTGGGAAAGAGGTCATCACACGAGGAAAGGTTGCTGAAAAACCAGTTTCAAATGCCCTTTGTTTTAGACACCCTCATTTCCAGAACCGTCGCCTAAGGATTGGGTCTGAGATTTTCATAAAACAAACATTGCTTTTTCCAGTTCACTTTTCCCCTTTAGTTTAACGTAACATTGGCCCCAAATGCCCATGGATTAATTCTGTCATTCCTTGGCTAACAGGCCCATAACATGTTCCGTCTGTTCACATGCGTTTGTGTGTGCTCAAGTGCTGGCGTGTCCAATTCAGACACAACTAGGGAGTGCCGTCATCCCTGCGGGATCTGCCAGTTCGTCAAATCCAAATCCTGGACACAGATGTCCTGTCACTGCCACAGGACTGCTTCTTTGTGTGGCAGCTGCTGCAGCCTGGGGGTGGTGAGAATTAATGGTATTTTGCTTAAGTTGTAAAAAACAAAACAAAACAAAAAACAAGATAATCATGTCAACCCATAAGGTGGAACTGCAACTTAGCAAGCATTTTATGGTCAACTGAGAAATTCAAAGAACATGATAGAAAGAGTTAAAGCAAGCATGAAAGACAGCAAAATCTCAACCACTCTGTGTTTCTCAGATAATAATTTTTCTCCTGAAAAACCAAATCAAATCAATAAATTTATTTATTGAGCAACTACTATGTGAGAGGTACTGTCTGTCCCATTGAATATTACAGGATTTGCTTTCACTATGGTCTTTTATTTTTTCCAGTATTTAAAGCATTGATCAAGATGCTTTCATGGTTTTCTCCTTAAGCAATTTTATTATTATGAATGTCTTCAGAAGTTCAACACTTTTAGGGCTACACAGTTTTCTGGGGCTTTTTGTTTTGTTTTGTTTTCTTCCTACTATTGTTTCTCACCTAAAGCATTCCCTTTCTTTTCCTACTCTCCGATAAAAATCTAGCATCTGGGGTCTGAGACCACTTGAAACGTCTGGGCTGGGGATTGCTAATGGCCTCCCAGAGATAACCCAAATTGCTGATTTAGCGAAGCCCATTCTTGACCTTGACACAAGACAAGACAGGCAAAGGGGAAGGACTTGGGAGGCAGCAGCAAAAGAAAAGGGATCATAGAAGCGCTCAGATCTCGGCAGGCCCCTCCCCCATTCAGCAAACACCTGGCTGAGTTGGAAAACACCACCAGCTCAACCTTCCCATTGGCTCCAATTGAAGCTGTCAGTTCTCGGCTTGTCACTGGTTGCACTGGGAGCCCCCAGGCAGCCACAAGAGCCCTAATTAGGCAGAAATGACACTTCTACAACTGACCTGCCAGGACCTTTGGCAAACCATTTAACATCATTAGTTAACATGTTTTAAAAGTGTGAATGTAAATGAACAGCCAGTGGCTTTCAATGGAGTTTGTCGGTGGCATCTCCCCCTCCCTTTCTCAGTCTTTCTCTTTTTACATGAATAGTCCACTTGTTTTCTCCCGAATTGGAGGGAGGCACTGAAGGAGAAGGAAGAGGACCAGTCCTCTGAGAAGAGAGACATGTTAAAGCAAAAACAAGCCCAGAAGAGCGAGAGGCCATCTTCCTGCCTCTGTATGGGCCCTCACAGAGCCAATCTCCGAGGGCCACCAGAGCAGGGCAGGAAGACAGCGGGCGGCCGGCAGGCCAGACGGATGCTAGGTCCACAATCTGTGCGTGTGAGTGTGGCCAGCGACGATTCTAGGCTTTGGAAAGGTGGGGAACAAATTTGTTTTCTGACTCAAGGGTGCCTCTGAAATTCTCCCAAACCTCTTCCCACTTGCTAGTGTTCTGAACAAGCAGGTTTTGCGGCAGTGGTCTGGCAAACATCTTACACGTGCAGAAGTTTAAACGTCCCAGTTCTATATACACCTAGTCCCTCTCGACAGGAGTGAGGCTCTAGGGGTCATGATTTCAGATGCCAGTTTGATACTTACACACATTAGTTCATTTCCTACCTGAAGCGGCTATTTCCCACCTTGAATCACACTTCATTTTGTTCTTTGCTTTACACCCACAGAATCCGTACACGCCAACACTCTCCATCTGTAGGAGGGGGGAAAAGAGTTGCACTGTGAAAATGTTGCTTTGTTTTCACGTTGCTCTTAAGTCGCGCACCCATGCTGGTTGACAGTTTGAAGAGGCAGCACCCAGCAGGAGGGAAGCAAAGGTTTAGGTGGGCGCAGAGGAGCCGGGTCCCTGGCAGGTCTGTGCACTTACCACCTACGTGTTATGTGGCCTTAGACAAGGTGCTTAGCCCTGAGTCTCAGATGTTTTCATCTGCAAGACAGAGATAATGCCTTACTACATCAAGTAAGAAAAAAAATAGATGGAAAGTCACAAAAACCGGGAAGCGTTGTGTGCACGGAAGGAATCCTGGAGAAACCAGAGCTGGCAAAAATGAGGAACCAGGCCGGTTCTCTCTCCATTTACCCTGGAGAGATGACACTGAGAATCTGCCCTCTGGTTCCCCAAGGCACACTTGACAGAGCCAATATACCACTAGCCCATCCCGGGGCACTCCCTGTCCTCTCCCTCCACACCTATTTATTCTTAAAAGGACTGTAGATATTACAAAGACAAGCACTGGGTGCAAGGCAAATTCTGAAAACTCACAGTTCTATTAGCTATTCATTCCCTCTGCTGGGTCCTAAACAGTACAAGGGGGAAAACATGTCTTGTCCATCTGTGGATTTCTGGAAGTCCTGCGAACACTGGCGGATACACCGTAGATGCACAATACATGTTTACTAGTTGGAATGCAAGAATTCAGCTTCCACGCATGTGCTGAATGCAGTCAGGAGTGTGTGCTTTACAAAGGTAGCACAGATCCTAAATTTGGAGAGCTTTCCTCCTCTCTGAATTAAAGATGAGTAAAATCAAACAGGCTGTGTGTGGTGGAGGATGCCTGTGAGTGGTCGCGAGAGAGGAGCAAAAGAAAACAATCTTAGTTTGGGGCAGAAAGAGAGTGAAAATGCTGGAAAGCATCCTTAATAACAGTAAATGAGGAAAGGGAAAACGGCTCATCGTGATGGGGCATTTAGTGCTTTTAAGCTAAATACCTCAGCATATTAAGCAAATAGAGAAAAGCCAGCTAGAAGATGTCAGCAAATTGAACCGAACAGTGTTCAGAAAGCCCATAGGAGGTGTCTGTTTTTGATCCCTTTTCCCATCACATGCCTGGGCCCAGGCTGCTTGTTTAGTGTTGCCTCTCCTCTCCAGCTGCGGAGCTTATTGAAAAGCTCTTGCTCCCTGCCTGGTTTTGGCACATTTTCTGCAGGTGCCTCCTACTGCGGCCACAATGGGCTGCTAGGGAGGTTTAGACCTGTCAACAGCTACAGGGGAGGGGGTGGCAGCGGTGGAGGGAGCACAGTCATTGTCTTAAAGGGCCAGTGACATTGTATGCAGCCACGGAGCCTGCAGCACTGGCACCTGCTAATGAGATGAACCCTTTCTCCCACTCTCTTTCTCTCTTTAATGATTTAACTAGATCGCTTTGGTTCCTTTCTGGAAGGGGAATTGCTCCATTGATCATATAAAGTAATTGCCTGTAAAACATTGCTCTGCAACAACTACTACTTCCCTGGCTGCAAATGTCACAGCAATTGAAAAGCTCTTAGCCCCGTTCAAGAATGAGGTTGCAGAAGAGAACAGTCTTTGCATACGTCCCCAAGTATTTGTGTGTTCCTAGAGTTAGTTACAAATTTTTGGTGTGACTGGTGGATTTTTAAGACAGAATTTCTTCCCTGCTGTATGGCTTGATTTTTGTGTGAGATTATGGTAAACTAAACACACACACACACACACACACACACACACACACACACACAAACTCCCTCCACCCTAAAATTAGATCTATTCATTCAGATAAAGAAATTCTTTTCTTCATCACCCATACCATTCTTCTCTGAGAGGCCATGAGGTTGGAAGGACACCCATATAGGTCCAGTGTGATTTGGGAAAGGGTCTTCATTTCTCCTTACAGAAGTAGACAGTATCTTTATCTAGGAGGAAGCAGGGGCCTTGGTTTGGGAAGGAGGAATTGATGCCTTAATTGTTTAAGATTTGCTGATTTTTCAGACCTGTCACTTGGCGGCGGCAGTGACACACTGTGGGAACGGGGACCACACACTTAAGGAGTTTTCATAAATAGCTTTATTAAATAGTCACTGCCACACCAATGTGAAGGAGTAATTTACCTGGGGATAAATCACTTGTAACAGGCATGAACCTGCCAACAAAATAAAAAACGGTTAGTGATGGTTTCATTTTTCTCCAACAGGTGAAAGCGTTTAGTTTACATTTAAATCAGAGAGAGACCTTTTTCAACTGAGTTGGTGGGAAATGCCACTTGTGCCACGCCATGCTGCCCGCTACCAATCTGGAACAAAGCTCAGGTGAACCACCTGCCATCAGGATAAGCCGTGATGACAGGTGAATCACCTGTCATCATGATAAACATATCAGAATATGTTTCTTCTAGCTGATGTAGGAAAGGCAGCAGACATGCCTATTACTGCACTTTTATAAAAAGGCAAAAACATCTGCCCACTTACTGACAAAGAGCATAGAGAACTGAGCTATAAAAAAAAAAAAGACTGTTTATGATGATAAATCTGAAAAAGCCATCGAACTTTGTGCAGCTAAATCCTCTGAAAGGTCATGGTACAACTTCCACAGCTGCACTTATGCGCATTTTTTTTTTCTTAGAATTTTGAGACTGGAGATTTTAGATTTTAAAATCTTTTAATACTATCAGAATATAAATGATATCGAACTAGAGCAGTAACACATACTATATCAAAATATACTTTATATAATAAAAGGTATTTTCCTATGTATAATAAAAGGTATTTTTTATTTGCCTATTTAGTAAAAAGAATGCAAAAACAATTCTTTAAGTCTAAGCCCATTAAATAAACTGATTCCCGAATATGAAGAATTATGCTGACAGCCTTTTAACCTGGAATTTGAATGTGTTTCTATTTGCTCATACTAACAGGTTTTTTTAAATTGTCTGTAAAATGACAGATATAATTAGATGTTTAATTTGATAATTAATACAGAACTAAATAAAACATGAAACCAATAACCCCAAAAGTTCTGCTTGGCTCTGAGTCCCTTAAATAAAAACAAAGATTTATACACTGTCATGGGAAATGGATAGTAAGTGTAAATTACTTCATATGGCAATTTCTAGTAGCTTTGCCTATTTGATCGGTGGTCAAGGCAGAGGAAAGTGGGTTGAATCAAGCCCATGCATCCAAGAAGAGAAGAGCCTGGACTATCGAGGCTGGAAACAGAAACCCCATTTGTACAGAGCAGCACAGCAAGCCAGGGTGTGATGGGAGGGCCGGGGGGTGGCATTCTGCATGGGAGGGAGGTGGGGGTGGCTGGCCTACTGCTGGTCCTCAGGCCGAGTGTCCTCTGCATGAACTCCCAGAGTGAGAGCGTGTGTGGACAGTTTTAACACCGTTTCACCGTATTTCTGGAGGGGGGAAAAACAGAACATTTGAAGTGGAGAAAAAAAACCAAACAAATACATCATCAGTGGAATGAATGTCAAATCTGACAGCAACTGTGGGACTGGTTTCACTTCCAAGCGTGCCCTTTTTTGGTTTATTTGTACATGATGCAAGAGGTCTGCCTAGAATTCCAAAGTTCAAAGACAACAAAATCACGCTTTGCATCTTATTCCTCACATGGATCTCCATAGCACATTTTAAACCATCTGACTTCACAAGGTACAATTTAACCTTCAGTTAAGTTTGTTTCAACTTCATACAAAAGAGGGTTTGTAAAGATGCTGGGGTTTGCATTTAAAAAAAAAAGACTGTATTTTAAAAAATGTTGACTTATTCTTTTCTGTCAAGGCCCAGCTGGTTAAATGTAGAGAGAGATGAGAATTATAACCTGGGCTAATATGTGATTTTTCTGAGTGGTAACTGCTAAATTCTTCATAATTCATATTTGTCAACTTATTTATGTAGTGAGAGCCACACAGACTTCAACCTGAGCACCTTATGTACTTAGAAAATCTATGTGTCTTCATTTGTCACCAATATGTATTTCATCCACTAAAAGTTAACATTCAGATATGTAAAGGTCCTTAATACTCTAATAAAAAGCTAACAGTCAGGCTAGCGGGTAACAGGACTTGCTGAAATGTTTGTTTTCAATACATAAGGTAAACATACTTTTCAGTTGGAAAATGACATCAATCTGAACCTGATTTTATAGCTCTTGAATATAGAACTACTGGCTAAGGGGAGAAACAGATTTTACTATTTTATGCCTTTGTGGAATGCACAAGATCATTCTAAAGAAATATTTCGACCGCAGTGTTTCAGATCAGGTCAGATGTTACTGAAGCTATATGAGCACAGACCTCACTCCCCTCCCCCACGAAGAGCCTTGCTCTACCTTGCTGTTTCCTACAATTTTCTTAGAATTACATGCTGCAAAGTTCCCTTTCTTTCAAAAGTCACAAAGCACTAAGTAGCCAAAGGAATCTTCCCATACCCTTGTTTTTCTCAGTTTGACAGGGATCACAGCTCCATTCCTCCAATAATATCCATCCAAAGTTACAGCTTATTTATATCCCACTGAAATAGATGCACTTTAGTAATCAACACAAGTATGACTGATTCCAAACGACTTCATAGATGCCTTGTAAAAAAAAGACCCTAAAATCTCACCTACACATTTTGTCAAAAGTAGATGAGACAGGATGGCATGACGTGTATAATCTTAAAGTCTCAATTTAGTAGCAAGGTGGGTCGATCATAAACGTAGTAATCATGTGGACTGATCCTGATGTGGCAGCTAAGCCTTAACCCAAGAGGGTACAGACGTGTGCAACATTTGATGTACCCGCCAGAGTCTAGTTTTGTGCCAAGAGTTTAGTGCTTTTTTTTCTTTCTTTTCTTTTTTTAAATTATTGGGGCTTTAAAGAGTGTAAAAAGCCCAAGGCATGCTCCTAGTAAGTTGGACTCAAGACAGCATACATACAGAATGGAAAA